CCCTCAAATACACATTTCCTATCTTTTGACGTTTTATGCTCCACGCTTCAACAATAGCTCAGGGCACCTTACCCTTCTTGACTTTTCCATCATCTCCCAAAAGGATGTGTTGTATTTTTTTTCTTTTAACATGAGTCACTTCAGGAGTTTTGTGATTCCCTTTTTTAAATACTTATAGTTATTTTTCCTCAATATGAGACATTTGAACTCAATGTATCTCCCCATAAATATAAACTCTTAGAGGCCAAGTGTATATCTCATATTGTCTATCAATTCTTTTTTTTTAAATACTTTTTTGTTGTAAAAATACTGTACAGAAAGGTTACAGTTATATGAGCAAGGTAATGAGTACATTTCCTACCAAGCATTGTTGTCTCCTCCTTTGTTTTTCCCCTACCATCCCTTCTCTCCTACCTCCACAACTATATTACCCCACCCCCACCCCTCCTTGCCTAAATTGTAAAGTTGGTTTTTCAACATAGTGTCTTGTACATCTCACTGTTACAATGGGTCAACCTGTATCCCTATTTAAGTATTTTGTTTTTTCCCTTCCCCTCTCCAAATTAGAGAAATGTATATACAAGATGCAGGGCACCAACATCAAATACAGTGAAAACAGGGGTTGTACTGTGGGGGGAAGAACATACAAAGAAACAAAAAAATCACATGGTACATTATAAATGTTAGAAACAATAGAAAGAAAGAAAAAACCAGTTGTGTCCCTATCTTTGGGTCCATTTCGTATAACATCATCTTATCTGGTCAGATGTACATATCTTTTCACCTTTTCTGCTTGTCCCACGTTTCAATTCTTAAATAGATTTTTTTCAAATTCTCACCAACTCAATAATAAAGGAAGAAGAACTGAATTTCAGCTTTATTTCACTATGAAATCTCTAGTCCTTTTTTTTTTAAGTGTGTCTGTCCTGGAGCTTGAACTCAGGGCCTGGGCAAGATCCTTGAGCTTTTTCCTCATGGCCAGTGCTTTACTTCTTGAGCCACAGCTCCACTTCTTGAATCTCTGCTTTTATCTATTTATGCTTCCATTACTTTCATTCTTACTTACATTGAGTACAATGATTTTACAGACTACTACAGAGAATATGATTGATACGTTTACCTTTGTCATGTTATTATTTTAAAAAATTAAATATGAAAGAGGAGTCAGTCCTGTTCAAACATAAATCTTTATTGATCCCTTATGTATGAAAATCAAGAGGATAGATAATATATGAATAATAAGTAGTTGCCATTTTATTAATGAAGAAACTATGGAAATAATAAGGGATTTATTTGAAACAGATGTTAGTGGAATTAGAACTAAAAGTGATTATTGTATTTTGTATCAGCTCTTCTCTTGGCATTATAAGTTATGAGTGATACGGAAAATAAAATACTTTCATAGAAAACAGAAGTATATAGAAAATAAAAGAACCAGCCTCATTATCTCTACACATATATAAACTATATTTTATATTTTATTATAGCATATCAATAGCATATTTTTAGATCTCTACAAATATGAACAGGTCATTCATAAATGCAGAAAAATAACAAAATTTATGATATTATGACATTTTATGTGACATATACCTTATAAACATTGTGATAACCCCTTTGGAAAATGCTAAAAGTTAAGCATTAAGAGTCATATTTGATTGATGAAGAAATTGAGTGGGTCTGAGATCAAGTAACTCATCTACAATTACAGAGCTAGAAAAGGAGAGTCTCCATGATGGGCTTGTTATAAATATTCAAAAGTCTGACTGTTTGCCAGTAGTGAATAGGAAGTACTGTCCTTGAATCCAAACATTTAAGTTTGGTAAGTTGCTTGACCCATCTGTACTATTTTAATGTCATCTAATGGGCATAATGCCTACCTTTCATGATGGCTGAACTTGATGATCTATCAAGTGCATTGTTTGTTGAATGACTATCACAACCAATTTACAAAAGGTTATTTTTTAACAAGAAAGTTGTTAACACTTTCTGAAATAGGATTTAAAGATCTTCCTGATTCTGAAACAGCTTGCTCTTTCAGTGATAATATACCCTTGACTTATAGTTAACAGGACAAGATCATATTTATTATTTTACATTTATTTTATATTCATTAAAATTATTTAATTATATATAATTATATGTGAGCTGTATACTTAATTATAAAATGAAATGAAAACTAAGTTTCTGGATTGTTTCTGGACTGCAAATTACATTTGTGCATTACCCAAAGTTTATTACTTTTCTATAATGTAGCACCCAAGAAATGATATGGAAATTCATGATATGATTGAGGAGTCTGAAATCAACCAACTGCTACTCATTTATAATGACATTGGTGTCAGTAGAAACATGGATCCTGGAGTAGAAAAAGAATGATTGGCAAATTGTAGAGTTTTTTTTTTTTGGTTGTTTGGTTTTTTTTTTTTTTTGTCTAGAATATTCTTTACTGCATTTCAGGACGAATATGGCTACTCTATAGGTCACAGTAACGATTTTACTTCCCTGACGTTTTACTATCATCACTGGATGAAGGGTTGGTAGAACGGTTATTGATTTCAATTAAGGATATAATAGACTTGAAATTTATTATTAAGTTTCCTTTTGATCTCAATTTTTTGCCTCTACCTGCTTTTTAAAAAACCAGTTCTAGAGCATGAAATCAGGGCCTAAGCAGTTTCTGAGTATTTGCTCAAGGCTAGTGTTCTACCACTTGAGCCATAGTTCTGTTTCTGGCTTTTGGGGGTTAACTGGAGCTAAGTGTCTCACAGACTTTCTTGTGCAGACTTCCTTTGAATCACTATCCTCAGATCTCAGCTTCATGATTAGCTATGATTAAAGGTATAAGCCAAAGGTGCCCGGCTTTTTGATATCTTTTTTTTTTTAACCGGTCATGGTTCTTGAACTCTGGGCCTGGGTGCTGTCCCTGAGCTCTTCAGCTCAAGGCTAACACTCTACCACTTGAGCTACAGCACCACTTCCAGTTTTCTGGTGGTTTATTGGAAATAAGAGTCTCACAGACTATCCTGCCCAGGCTGGGTTTGAACTGCAATCCTCAGATCTCAGCCTCATGAGTAGCTAGGATTTCAGACGTGAGCCACCAGCACCCGGCAAACATCTTGTTTTTAATTGAGGATTTATTTTTAGCTTGAGAGAACACATGATGGAGCTACAGTCTCTTATTTTGTCAACCATTGTCCTATTAGAGCAAAGGAGAAAATTATTAACAAAGTCTGGGTATTAAGGTGAAAAATAAATGGTCAGACATGAGAAGAGCTAGATTCTTTGTAATGCTAGGAAAGGCAAAATCTTATAGATGGACGTATGCAAACTATTCTTGCAGATATTTGTTTGATTTGCAGAGATTGTTCTCTGTATTTTTTTATGGTCTCTGGGTTTGTCAGAGAAATAAGAGGATGCCAGTGTTCAAAATTGGCCACTTCTTTATAGTGGAAGACAGAAAAGATTAAAGGGATCTCATAAAACCAAACACTTAATTAAAGGAAAATTGAAGGAAGGAAAGAAAATAAAAATCCTCTCACTCATGTAGCTAGTTGCCAGCATAGTTTAGGAATCTAGCTTTTATTCTCAGACTTTGAACACTTTTTAATTTTGTTATTAGGTGCAGTAGATTCAAGATATATCATTTGTATGTTTCTTCTAGAACCTGGCACAAACCAACACTTTATTTGTAAGTTTTCAACAACATGAATAGCTAGATACAAGATTGAGTGATCTTCAAAGCAGCCTCATTTCCCATAATTGCAACTAGAGTCTCTCTGACTTCCTTTCAGAGTAGAAACATTTCCACATTTGTACCACACATTTCTCATGACTCTGAGAAAAAAAACACACCAAGTGACTTAAGGTGATTAGCACTAACTTTCCTCTCTTCATAATATTCTACTTCAATTTCAAATGACTTGTGAATCAAATTTGAATTTAAAAACTAATACCTCTTGAGCAACATGTCTGTTAAAATATTAAATTAGTTATATTTCTTTCAGCTTGTAGATAGGATAAATTATATAGGTCTCTAGGTATTCACACAGTGAGTTTAAAAGAAGATATTCTTTTTTATTTTTTGGTCATTCGTGGGTTTGAACTCTGTACTTGAGCTCTTTCCCTCAGCTCTTCAGCTGAAGGCAAACATTCTACCACTTGAGCCACAGCACCACTTCCAAAGGAGGATATTCTTAAGATAGAAACTCAAAGCCCTAATGCCTATGTGCATCTGATCATATAAAATAATAATTATCAAAATGAATTCCAGGAAATGGGAACAAGATACTTTTTCTTCCTTTTTTTTCTTTTTTTTAAATTTTATTTGTGAAGATACTGTACAGAGGGGTTACAATTACATGGGCAGGATAACGTGTACATTTCTTACCAAGCATTGCAGCCTCCTCTTTTTGTTTACCCTTCACATCCCTTCCCAGCCTCCCCACTCCACCCCAATTCCAAGCTTTCTCCTTCCTCCTCTTTCCCCCCCACCCCCGCACCAACGTTGTAAAGCTCGTTTTGGACATGACAACTTGAAGATACTTTTTCTTTGTGGCTGTTTTTATTTTCTTTTCCTCTTGTCTTTGTTCATTTATCTGTCTTTGTGAGGGTAAGTGGGCAAAAAATAGAGGGATGAAAGGTGAACAAATGTAACATTGGTACTCACTAGACACCATGTTGAAAATGAATTATACAATTTATGGGTGAGGATGGGAAGGAAAAAGTGGGAGGGAATGAGGGAAAGGGTGATGACATGGGTCAAAAGTAATGTACTTTCTTTATCTGAGTTATGTGACTGTTATCCCTCTGGGCATCACCTTTATAATAACAATAAAAACGCATGAAAAAAAGTTGCAAAGAAAATCTTCAGAATTTCACATTGACTCAACCAGGAGAGGATAACTTGAGAAGTATTTATTGGAAAGCTCTTTGTGTTTTCTGTCTCTCTACCATTATAATTTACCTCTGGTAAAACATCATCATCATCCACAACAACAACAGATTGCCATGTTCTGTATTTATTGTGGCTTTCTAATGAGTTTTTTGAAAGCAGCTTTCACATCCTTGTTCCGCAAACTGTAGATCAAGGGGTTCAACATGGGAATGATAATAGTATAGAACACAGAGGCCCACTTGTCTTCATCCAGGGAGTAGCTCGATGTTGGCCTCAGATACATAAACATGACAGTGCCATAGAAGAGAGTGACACCAGTCAGGTGGGCCCCACAGGTGGAGAAAGCCTTAAGGCGACCTTCAGCAGAGCGCATTCTGATGATCGCGATGAGGATGAAGGTGTAAGAGATGAGGATGATGAGGATGGTGCTGAATTCGATGAAGCCACACAGACTGAAGAGTAATATCTCACTGATGTAGGTATCTGAGCAAGAGAGGGCCAAGAGAGGTGGGATTTCACAGAAGAAATGGTTGATGATATTGGAAGCGCAGTAATTGAGGCTGAACGTGAGGGAAGTGTGGGCTACTAAACTCACCAGGCCCGCCATGTAAGAGCCCAGCATGAGAGCAAAGCAGACCCGGTTGGACATGAGAGTGGTGTAGTGAAGAGGTCGACAGATGGCCACAAAGCGGTCATAGGCCATGGCAGCCAGGACATAGCATTCAGCATCCACAAACCCTACAAAGAAAGCAAACTGAGTGGCACAGCTGGAGAAGGAGATGACTTTGTGTTTTGTTAGGAAATCAGCCAGCATCCTGGGAGCAATGGCAGAGGAGTAACCCAGGTCGACAAAGGAGAGGTTGCAGAGGAAAACATACATAGGAGTGTGAAGCTGATTGTCTGTTACAATCAGGATGATCATGCCAACATTCCCTACCACATTGACCAGGTAGACAATGAGGAAGACCACAAAAAAGATGATTTGCAGTTGAGGGTCTTGAGTGATGCCCGTAAAGACAAACTCAGTCACTGTTGAGTGGTTTTCTTGATGATTCATGGCTCCAACTATATATCTGTCTATCTGGATTTGCTTTTGTTGATGAGTATAACAATGAAGCTAAACCACTGGTAACAATGAAGCTAAAGAGAATCAATCATATGCCTGGCACATTATATGTATTTCAATAATAGAAGAAGACTGGGGGAATTTCAGAAATCTTTACATTAATTAGATCTGATGATTCATCAGGTGAATCAGATGACTCTATTGAAGATGATGGTTTGGTCTTTTTCTCAGGTTGGATTGTTCAGAATGGCAAGTTATGCTTCTCCAAAAATGATGGCTTTATCGTGTGACAACAGATGCTTGATCAGGCCTGGCAATTACTCACCTGATTCATTAGTTTTGATGTCCATTTTGATGTTTGTTCTGTCTTTCTAAAGCAAAGTAAATATGAATAAGAATAATGCAATACATTAATTCTCATGGTAAGATGAATGTGAAGTGTGTGAGAAGAATGAAGAATATGAAGTATTTAGTATCGAGGGTAAGAAATAGAAAAAAAAGTAGTGAAGATTATATTTTAAGAGTGAGAAGTTACTTTACGCTAGAGCTTATTTGAGTGTTTTATATATTATATATTACATAATTTTGTTTGCATATTAGGGGTTATTTGAGTGTTATATATGTATATATAATTTTGGTTTTGCAAACTCTATGAGGAATGTTTCACCATTATTTTCAGTTTATTTCAAAAAAAGAGCAAGAATAGCCATTAAATAACTATAACAGAGCCAAAGGGCAGTAAGTGTTTATGCATGGTCTGATTCCACAGTCTGTTTCACTTTATCACTGCCTGATATGTATGACTTGATGGGAAGTAAATCTGAGAATGTGTCTGTCTTTCTATTACCTGTTATGTCTATCAGGCTAGTGAGCTAAGATTTCTTACCCATAGGAAATTGAAAAGGCATTGTCCAATATAGGTCAGTAGTCATGAATCTGTTAAGCATGTGTTTCTTGCTGATGAGATGCAAATCTATTCAGTTGCAGAATTAAGGTCAATCAGACCAAACCATGGCAAATGAAACACAAGGTAACTTAAAAATAAGTAGCATCTCATACATAAAGCTGAAGGGAGAAGACAGGCTGTATATCCCTTAATTGGATAAAAGGACTGAAGAGAAATTAAAGTACTACAATGTTTCATTTATGAAGATATTACAAATCTAGTAGGTTATTACAAATCTTAAGTTCAGAAAGAATGAAAATTGTGCCCTTAGCTTTAATTATGCCATAAAGTATAATTAATCACAATATGAACAGGGGTCTAATAAAACCAAATATTTTGTGGATGATTTGCAGTTTGCAAAGCACATGTCTTTCTCTATTTTCCAGTACTCTGGGAATAATGCGTACATCATTTTTTTCTCCCGCATATTAGATCAATAATAAAACAAAGAAAAAATGTCAACCTGTGAAAATTTATTTGAAAAATTTATTTCTGCTGAAAAAATTTCTCTCATTTATCTGTAGAAAATTACAAGCTCAATAAGAAACAATCTAGTAAGTATGGTGTAGAGATTTCTGTATTTGCCAAAGATGATATGCAAATACCAATTAAATAATTGAAAAGAAATGCTCAAGTATTCAAAATGGGAGAAAGTAAATTCATAGTGAAATGCACACATATTAGAATGGCTGATATTTTAAAGACTGACAAGTTCTGAGAAGGAAATGAAGCAGTTCACACTTTTATCATTGTTTGCAGCAACATAAAACACCTGGAAAACACTGACACTTTCTTGTCCAATCAAACCTAGGTACACAAATTTAATCAGTTAGCCATTAGAAAACCAGAAAATGTAAATCCCCATCTATAGGTGACAGGACAAATATATTGCAGTATATCTGTGAAAATAGAATACTACTCAATGATTATTATAGATAAATATGTTATGACAGAAAAATCTCAAATAATGAAGAAAAGAAGACATGCAAAATGGTAAGGCCTTGTGATTCCATTTATAAAAATCTAGAAAATATAAGAAAATCTATAATGACAGAAAACACACCAATGGAAATCCTTTGTAGAGGTTTAGATAAGAAACTGTGGGAACATAGGAAAGAGTGAATGCCAAGAGGTTCAAGAAAAGTTTTTGGTGTGAGGAGTTATTTTAGAGTTATATTTACTTATGATTGACTCATGCACATACATAACATACTAAAACATGAAAAAAATCCCTTAAATATGTTAATATTAAATGTATTCTATTTGTTCTACATAATTTATACTTCTATGTAATTCCCTAAAATGAACACCCTTTGCTTCTTTTTGAGCTCAGTTCATCCTTGCTACATGAGATCGCTTAGTATTTAGAAGAGAAAGAGATAACCTTGTAATAACATAGCAGCAAGAGTCAGAACTCAGATCTACAACTGTGTGTGTGCTACTCAATTTATGTTACTCAATGAAAAAAGAGGACTAGAAAATCATTTTCTCTTTCTTGCAGATTGAAGGTGTTGCTATGAGAAGATGCTTGCTACATCAGTCCTAAAGCATCTGGCACGTTCTTTTTGTTTTTTGTTCATAGCAGAGAAACCCAGGTTGACCAATGGGTACTACTGATTTCCCACACCCTAGTTATCTACTTGAAGTGTGGGTTTTTATTCATGAATTGGAGTTAAGAAGAACTTCCTTAAGGAAGTTCTGCAAGATTTAGTTGGATTACCTATAAAATCCTGAATTCAATGATTGCTATGTGATAATTACTTAGTACATTTGGTCATTGTGTATAAATGTTAATGTTTTAATTCAGCAGATGAGTTATGAATCAAAACATAAAACTATTGTATGCTTATTACATAGGAGTGATGTATACAAGCTCATAAATATAGTGAGGAATAATTTTATTCAAGGCACTTCTCTGACATATTACAAGTAGATTCAAAGCTATCTTATGCCAAACCAGGGCTTGATTAAGCTAAAATACTAGAAAAAATAACACTGCTTTCCTTTTTAATCTCCTGTAGTTTAGGTACAGCCTGTTTGACTCAAGAAAATGGTAGAATATTGAGAAAATATGTTTATTCCACAAACTAAAGTATTAGCAAAAGCACATCAAAGATATTATCTTGTAGAAGAAAGTACAAATATGTTTTAGGCTTCTGCTCATCCCCTGAAAATGATATTCATAGGAAAAGAGTACTGGAGTAACACATTTGTTTCAACATACTGGAGAGCCTATTTCTCCTCTGTGAATTGTTTTGATGCATTTTCCTTATTTATGAATTTGATGGAATGGAGAATACAAAACTTCACAAACCCCTTTACTTGTAACATTTTCTGAATTCAGATTTATGATAACTAAGAACCAAAAAAGGTTTCATCTCTTTCCCCTTCTGTCCCCAAAAGTGACTTGAACTCTTTTTTTTTACCTGCTGGTGACACATTCAATGGTTCTTTCTATATGAGTAGCACTGTGGAAATATTCTTAAATGGTCCAGGTGGTTGTTTCAGAGCTACTGTTCATGACACCCCTCTCCTGTATGCAGGAGCCATTTAAATGTCAGAGTCACAGATAATTTCCCAGAAGAAATATGATGAAATTATTTTCAGCATTCACTAGAGACAAATTCTTGGTGAGCTGTCATTCCCCAGGGGATTTCCCTTGTTTTTCCTTCAGTCTTAATGATTAAGAAAAGCAGAACAGGAATTTATTTGAAGATACTCATAATGATTCAGTCTTTCATAGACAACACCTGCCCTGTTTATTATTGTTTAAAGATGCCTACATGCTATGATTTTGGGAATGATTGAGTGGTCCTATAGATTATATGTATAGGCCTTTTGACAAAGGCTTAAAGTGGTTGATATTACAATATGGATACTAGAATATAAAATCTAGAAAAATTCTATATATAACACTATAACAATAAAAATAAAACAAAGTGAAGAAATGATCAGAAGACTAAAAAAGTAGTTGTAGCTTAAGATTTATTATCTGAATTGTAATTGCTGATGGTAATACATCTTTTAAAGTCTGTGTTCTAGCATTTAATACAAATTGCACTATTTAAATGATGCTGAGATAAATTAATTATAGTCTTATGTAAGTAGCACAAAGAGCATAAACTATCATAAAACACTGATTATCTTTGATCAATGTGTTTCAGACCTGGTATCCTCGAAATGGAAGATACAATTAAACAGTCGAGCATTATTATATCAGTTTTAAGCTGGACTGTCTAAGCTGATAAAAATTTCTTATCTTAATGGTGGGTAAAGTGTCATATGGTGAAGTTATCTCTTACTTATTGATTATTTGTATGTACTGGATGCAGCAGTATTCTTTCATTATGCTATCTCAAGATTCACCCTTTGAAGTAGGCCTTAGGGAGAAGCTGTGAAATACACAAGCCACATAATCACTGATGCAAAGAGGCTGGGTTTCAAGCCTCAAAGCTTCTGTTGTCTCAACTTCCTCTACTTCACTGTCCCCTCCCAATTATCCAAGCAGCCTAACTTCTTATACACACACAGAAATTGTGTGTAGAAAGTGTGGCCAAAGGCAGAGATATCTTACTACTGTGTGGAATCTCTTAACAATTTTTTTCCAAAATGGAAGTAATCCCAGTTCTCAGGGGAGACAGGAGAAAGGTAATTCATGGTGCTGAGTAATTTGGGACTCAAACTTCATTCTGTACTGGCTCAGATATCCCAAGGGTAAAGCAAAGCACATTTTAAAACAAACAAACAAACACCAAACAGACACGTATGAGACTTGTGATTTTCTTAATGTGAGAACAGAAAGCAATTGGATTATAATAAAGTGACATGAGGGTTAGTCCCCAGAGATCAAAGAACAAGAAGTTTGTCCTACTTAAAGTAAGTCAGGATGCTGACTCTTGTCTGTTCTGAAGACTGTAATAGGGAATACAGCTGCACCATAGAGACAGAGAAAAAGAGCCTTTATTTTGAAAAGTATTTTATCTTGATGGGTGTATTTATCTTTATGGAAATAGGAAACAAAGTCAGATTCATTTCTGTTGAGTGCAGAGTGAAGTTTTCCT